TAACTGTACTGTTAAAATCTCAACACCTCCACTTTGCAATGAAGAGATGCCTATACTATAAACCAAAAAATCCCACCATTAGAATGTCTGCTTTTGTAAGACAGTCTGAAAGCACCTGCCTAGTCTTGGTTGCTTACCTGAATTCTCCAAATTTTAGTGAGCTCATCTAGAGATAATTTACTGCCCAGCAGTTCAATAATTCCCTTTATACGATCACAGTATTGTGCTTGGTCTATATTACCTACGAAATAAAGGCAGGACATTAAATTAATATATTTAAAACAGTATTAGGTACATTAAATGCATAAGAATAAACAAGTTCTTTTAAAAGGAAGATATGTTATGTTCATTTGCAATTTTTTTCTTTACTGTTACAGACAAATCCATCAGCTCAAAGAAAGAGAAAAGGCTCTTTCCATTTTTATTTTGTTAAATACATTCACACATTTGGTAGCAGTTCACACCCATAGGGCCTTACTACTTGAAAAAAAAAATCAACCCCAAAACCTCTCAACTGTCTTTTCCAGAGGCTAAAAATATGCAAAGATAAACTGAGAGTAAAAACCCCAGGTACAGCAGAAGACATCTGCACAGATATCAAATAGAGGACTAGATGATAGCAGGAGAATTTGCAGGGTTTTCCTTACTCTATTTTGAAGATGCTAAAAACCTTGAACTCTTTTTTAAATAGTGTTCCATTAAAATGCATTGAAAGTAACAGATGAAATTATTACATTGAAGACATTCAAAGCACATGCCAAAAGTCTTTGTGAAAGTGCTTACCTTCTAGAGCAATGGACAGGACAGAATTTTCTACTAGCCAATTTAGTAATCTGTCTGTATCTATTGCATTCTTCACTGACTTGGACACAGTGCTGTCTTCTATTAATTTCGTTACCTAGAAATTGCAAAATGTGAGATTCTAACAATGATTCCCACATGCATTATACACGTACACAATGAAATCTGTTCAAAAGGCTTACTGCAAAGCTTCAGTGTGAATGCTGGAATATTTTGAGCACAGGAGATATTTGGGTTTTTTGGGGTTGACAGGATGGTTTTGGGGTGGACAGGACGTTCTGGGGGTGGGCAGGATGGTTTTGGGGGTGGGCAGGACAGTTTAGGGGTGGGCAGGATGGTTTTGAGGTTGGCAGGACAGTTTTGGGGGTTGACAGGACGGTTTTGGGGGTTGACAGGATGCTTTTGGGGTGGATAGGACGTTTTTGGGTGGGCAGGATGGTTTTGGGGCTGGGCAGGACAGTTTAGGGGTTGGCAGGATGGTTTCTGGGGTGGGCAGGACGGTTTGGGGGGAGAGTGGCCTCTCCCAAAGAAAGGGATAAGACGAAGGCAAGGATGCTCTTGGGAGAGCCCCTGCTTCGGGACCTGTGGCGTGACCGTTGTTCCTCCATGAACTAGCATGCGCGGTTTTGAGGAGCGGTTTTGAGGAGCGGTTTTGAGGAGCCGGAGGAGAGGGGACGGCTCCCTCCTTGGAGGGCGATGGCAGCTGGGAGCCGTGTGACACCCCTGAGGGCCCAAACCCTGCCTGCCCCCTGCCAGGTTGCCTCCGTGGGGCTGGAGGTGACAAAGCTGCTGAGATGCTCTCCAGCATCTCCGATGCTGCCGCACGGCTGGTTCCCCTGCTAGGGATGCTCTCTGGTTGCGTCAGGAACCGGCCGCGCTCCCCTGAGTTGGCGAGGCAGAGCCGTAAATCGGGAAAGTGCAGATTCAGGAGGTCTGGCCCCGGCTGCGGTCTCCCTCTCGATCCGTAACCCTGGGTGCAGCCGGCTGGATGTGGATGTGGGGGCCCCCACGCCACTCTCACGTGAGCCTGCCACGTAAGGAATTGTGCGGTAGGAGAGAAGAAATTTGAGGAGCCTGCGGTTTGCAAGGTTTTTCTTTCGGGCTATATAATAAGCTCTTAATGAAATGCTGCTGGAGCTGGTTCTTCCCCTCCCTGGTCCTGTTGGTGACAAAGCGATGCTGCTCGGTGGCAATTCCACAGCTCTCTCCTCACCTCAACTTCTTGCTTCTCCTGACATAAACCACAAGAAGCGAAGGAAAAACATCCTACCCAGGGATATCGGCAAAGGGGATGAGGAGCTAACAAGCAAATAAAAAAGCCTGCATGAACTGTGCGCTGTGAAAGTGCCCGTGCTCGTGATTCCCTTTCAGGGGGTGTCTTTGGTCCGTCGCAGACCTCAGCATCGTGGTGTTCTTCTGGTCTGCTCCGTCTTCCCTAACCGCTGGCTTGCGTTAGCACTCACTGCTTTATGCTGGTAAATAAAACGCTGGGTTTAGGGATGAAGAGAGGGCTGGTCAGTCTGACTGAAATACACGACAAGGTGTTTATTTTTTTAAAAAATAAGGCAAATCATCCTTTTTTTTCCCCACTCCACAGCTGCGAGTGCCGACCTTGAAATGGGGGTCTTACAGAGATGTATTCCAAGGGGAGAGACTATAGCTGTGAGGTCGGTTTTGCTGATGTTTTTTAGTATTGACGTGTATACAGGCAGCACCACGCCGCTCCTGTAAACCCTGCTTTCGCAGAGTGCCTGTGTTTTTACAGAAAGGATGCATTTATCTCGCCGAAGGAAAATGCGTGGGGCTGTTCTTCAGTTGTCGCTTCCTTGAAAGCAAAACCCATCAACAGAGATGATGTCAGTTAGTGCTGGGAAGCTGCACATGGATTTTTCCAACTTTAATGATTCTGTAATTCTGTGGCTTGCCCTGTGTAAGTGTAGGGGCTCAGCAAGGGCGTCGAAGCTAGAAACTTAGCTGTCGAAGCTCCGTTGACTTTTTGGGAAGATAGTTTTTAGGTGGGCTGCTTTGCTCTCTGAAGGTGTCCCGTTTCCAGTGATTTCCGATGGAGCCGAGAGGGACGGTGCTCCTGACGCCAAGCGGTTAAGACCTCGCTGGGATGAAATCTGGACCTAATGAATGCTGCTGGGGTTTGTGCTTGGATGAAGTTTCGAGCAAGTACCGTGAAGGATTTCAGAAACTGGAAGGGAACACGGCGTTAGGAACAGTCCCTGGGACTGGCATACGTGGTTTTATTTATTTCCTTATTTATTTATTCTTTCCTCTCTAGGCTTCTGGGCCGATCGAACACCGGTTCATGAAGCAGCCAGGCGGGGAGAAATCCTGCAGCTGCAGCAGCTGATGGAGAGTGGAGCCTGCGTCAACGCGGTCACCTACGACTCTATCACCCCCTTGCACGAGGCCAGCCTGCGAGGGCAAACGCAGTGTGTCAAGCTCCTGCTGGCTGCAGGGGCCCAGGTGTGAATTTGGATACTGGGGGTACTGGTGTATGCGTATTCCAACTGGGAACTTGATGTCTGAAGTTACTTCTGGGATCTGGATTCTAGGTCTAGGCTCTTCTTCATCACCCTGGGCTTTCTTGATGGTCAGCAGAGGATGGCAGGCCTCTTCAGAGGGTGTTTGAGCTTGATGAGGACTTAAAAAACTGCCTGGAAGTATTTCTCTCTGTCTCTCCCCCTCTCTCCTCACTGACTATCAACAGAGCCTGGGATGACTCGGAATCTGATTTAGATGAATCAAGTATCTAAAGCTAGCTGGGCTGAATCAAGGGGAGCAGGGGACAAGTAGCTTCCAGAGGGGATTTATATTTATTCTTTTATTTCTTCTTCTATTTCTTTTATTATGGAAACAAAAATCATCTAAACAGAGTCTTTGGATATAGCTGGCGACAGCTGTCTTCAAGGGCTCGTGACTTCTCACGCGCCGAAGACGGCCGTCCTCAGAGCAAAGCCGGTGAAGCGGAGCACGTGTGCGCTCCGCGGTCCCTTCTTCCCAGTGCTCAGTCAGCCAGCTTGGCTGGGTCCGCTGACGAAGCCGGGCCTCGCGCTAAAGCCGACGAGGAGCTGCGTTGTGTTACTGAGCCGCAAGGCTTGTAGCTGTCAGCAGG